GGTTTTGAGTAATGAACAAGGCTGGGAGTTTTTAAAAGCCTCAGGAATCTTTTGCAGGTGTTTAGAGTTACGTCGTTGATTCAGATGGTTAGGTTAATAGTTGTTTAGAGAACCTTTTCATGATATGCTCATTTTTTGGGACAGGCATTTTGGGTTTTCATGAGCTGTATGCCATAATCATCAGTATTAAAACAATTAAAGACCTGAAATATTTCAGTTGGTGTGCAATGAATCTGAAATATATGAAAGTTTCATTTTTATCATTAAATTATGGAAAATAATGACCTTTATCACAATATGCTAATTTTTTGAGAAGGACCTGTATATGTATGTGAAAAAGTGAAAAGTATGCCATCTGCAATAAAAATGTAATAAAAGAGTTCATTTGCATTTAATGTTAATGGTTCAAAGAATGTCAGGCTGAATGGTCAGCCCCCACACATTTTTACCAAATCTGACGCTCTCCGCAAAAAGTTTGGACACCCCTGCTCTACTGGTAGTGTTCAGTAGAGGAACACAAAGTAGACTAACAAGAACAGACTAATACTAAAACAACATGGCTGAACAGATAACTGAAATGATTAACACTGAACATAAATTTTCAGAATCAGAATGAAATTTTACCCATAATCCCTCTCTAAGGCCATGTGACCGGCAGTCAGCCACAGCAGAATGCTACAATACGTACCGGTAACATACACAAATATGTACAGTAAATGTTTTATGTTTTTAACAGTGCCGGTAACACTGCCGGTTAAAAAACAAAATAAAATACAGTAGCCTACCAGGAAGTCATTGATGGCTATATTCTTCCGCTGCAAGCTTGTGCACCGGAGCAAAGTTGCTCTGTGAGCATGTGAGACTCGCATGCTCTGTGCATGCAGGGGAATCCCCTTCCATTCTCCCCTCCCCTTTTCTTTAAGTTACTGTGGCCTGTTTGGTAATTTCATCGGCCAGATTAAAAAAAAAAACTAAACTTTATTTAAACAGGTAGTCTCATCAATACACGTCTCTGTTGGGGTGGGGGTTCCTCGTGACTCAGTGACACTACCTCATTGGTTCATTGTGGTTGACTGCTGGTCACATGGCCTCAGAGAGAGATTATGAGCAAAATTTATGTTTATTGTTAGCATTGTTCTTTTAGGAGTCTGTTCTTGTTAACCTATTTTATGTTCATTAAGTGTTAGTTTGTGTTAGACTATTCAGTAGAGGAACCATGACGGAGGAGGTAGTTGTCATGAAGACTTGTGGGGTTCACTCTGTCTGTGTGTGTCATGAGGACCCACCACCCCAAGAGGGCAGCTATGTGAGTGCCTGGGTGTGACGAAGCTAAATGTTTTTGGCAGCAGGAAGCTTGTTAGCCCGTCAACAAACAAACAAAAAAAGATCCATTAATTAGCCGTAGCATTGTATAAGCTGCGGGGTTCAAAGCCTGTGAAAAAAGTAGCAGCTTATAGACTGTAAATTATGGTTTCTGTTCAGTGCCCTGAGATGACTTCTCTTGTGACTTGGCTCTATATAAATAAACTGAATTGAATTGAATTGTAAGTAGGCCTTCCTATAACTGGAGACCACTTCCACTGCGGATCCTCTTATGTGCAGAGGGGGGTAGGTGTGTTTGCCCCTTCTTAAATCCTCAATCATCTCCTTCGTCATCTTCACATTGATGTGGAGGTTGATCTTCCTGTACCAGCTCTCCAGGTGTTCCACCTCCTGCTGGTCTCATCGTTTGTGATGCATCCCACAACCGCTGTATCATCTACAAACTTTACAATATGACAGCCTGGATGGGTAGGTGCACAGTCAGTCATATGTGAGCAGAGTAAACAGGAAGGTGCTCAACACACAGCCCTGAGGAGAGCCAATGCTGAGGATTATAGTGGAGGGGTTGTGGATCCTCACAGAGTGCAGGTCTGTTAGTTAGCTTATTACTTCAGCTAATTCATACTAACATTAGGCAGCACTTTAACTAACTCACACTAATATTACCATATCACTAGCTAACTCACACGAACATCAGCCTATCCCTACAGCTAACTCGTGCTAACATTAGCGTTTCACTTTAGCTAACTCTTGCTAACATAAGCTTTTCACTTCAGCTAACTCAAGCTGAGGTTAGGTTATCACTATAGCTAACTCAAACTAACGTTAGTCTATCACTACAGCTAACACGCACAAATGTTAACGTTTCACTTCCGCTAATACATGCTAACATTAACTTTTCACTTCAACTAACTAAATCTGAGCTTAGTTTATCACTAGAGCTAACACGTGCTAACATTAGCTTTTCACTT